AAAGGCTGAGTTGAATGAATAATATCTCCCCTACTGCATGAACACACTCTCGCTCTCTCTCTCATACATACATACATGCATGCAGATCAACAATCTGTCATCTTCACACCGACATACGCCCACAGGCTGGCATGTACTGTATATGCAGTCACATATACACACAAACACACAAACATGAACATAAGGCCCCTTAGTGACACACGTTTGCATGTGCATGCTGTCAACGTGACTTATTAGCACACAATTACAGCCAATTCTATAGACATGATTCGTAGAACACAAATGTGTGTATGTTAACGAACACATGAACACACTAGCTGAAGAGAAGCTCACTGAGGAGTGGCAGAACATTTAAATGAGGGGAAACTCGCCTTCTTTTGTTAATATACTCTTTAACAAAGCCCTCCCAGGTCCTCACTGGGCAGCAGTATAAGTATGTTCAGAAATGTTGACGGTTGATTGATCTATGTTGTTTGTAAAGTTTGTTAAATGTGTAAATAAGGTTTAAAATAAAATACTTTTTTATCTGTTTTTATCATTTACAGTAGCTAATTAGCTCTCTGTTACAAGTAAGGGGGCAAAATCCCATATTCGTATGGACATATTCTTTAATGAATGCAAGATAAAATTAATTATGAATCCATAATGTCAAAACATATTAGTTATCTGTGGTGGGAAGATTTCCTATCTATTAAAAGTGGCAGGTTAGTAACTGTAGTGCAGCATTTTCTGAATAGTGACTGACACGAATTATAGAGATTTTATCAAACTTAACACCAGAAAGACAATTGGAAGTGAATAATCCTCAAACACAGGCATGTTTTTGAAGACAAATTTGTTTGTGCAAGCAGATAATAACTGTCTAATATTTAAATGGATACACATGCACTGGGGTTGTGATAATGCTGAATGTATCTTGAGATTAAGAATGTGTTACTAGGAGTGGTAGGACTAGGTGTGTTTTATCATTAACATTAATACATAGCACATTGTATATGCATGCAAAATCCCATTTAATAGGTTTAATAGTATTCCACAGTTGGCTATAATTACAATTTGCTTTGAATTGTTGATTTGGACAACTGAATTTTGTAAAACGGTAACACAATATAATCGATGGTTTTGATCCAATCGCTTATGAAAACATTTTGCTGATGCAACACCATTAGACACTGCTTTATAATGGAGTTCTTTTGGGCAAGCAACATCACTACTCAGACTGATCAGACAGGCTGTAAACAAATCCACAGAAACATAGTTTATAGTGTCTAAGCCATTTATCTTGACAGGAAAATGTTACAGTTATTACCAAAGATTTTAAAGAGCTACTCCCACATTGGCATACTTGTAAAACACCAGCAGTTTTACAAAGCAGTAAAATGACAAAAGGTGTTTTCACCTTTGTTTTTGCCTCTAAATAATTTGGCTTTAGCTAAACTGCGGTTTTGTTTACAACCTGTCTAAACGTCTGGCAACATGTTTTGCTTGCTCTAATAGTCTGCATTTTATAGCTATGTCTAGCAGTGCATCCCTGGTTCTCAGCAATTAAATTGGAGAGTAAAATGTTATAACCAGCAGGAATGAAAGCGAACCATGAAAATAGGGCGTGAGTTAACAGATTGGTCTTTGAAGAGTTCTTGTTCCATGTACCAGTTTACACATGGGATGAGTACATGAGAGTTTGTACATCTGTGAGTGTGTGTGAGTGTGTGTGTGTGTGTGTGTGTGTGTGTGTAAATGGTCAGCCATCACCCATTATAACAGTGCCATAAGTGGACCATCAAGCATTTATCTCAGCAAGCAGCAGAGTCCATTATTCAACCATGTGTCACATCTGTGGAATAGGGGTCAAGTCCGGCTCAGTGTGTGTTTGTGTGTGTGTTTATGTGTGTGTGTGTTTATGAGTGTGTCAAATTATCTGTGAATAAGTTTAGCATCTGTCAGCATGGAAGCACTCAGGACTCTCTAATGTGTGTGCATGTGTCTACATACAGTGTATTTCCCAATTTGGAGCCTGAAATTCCACTGCAAACACACACACGGACACACACACAGACACACACACACTCATGCACACACAAATACACACTTTAGACCACTTGGCCTTGTAAGAGCCTGCCAGTGGATCCAGCCTGGGTCCATTCCCTGACATCAGCTACTAATCGCCTCAATTCTCTTGTCATAGACTGAGCCCCTGAGGGTGCAGTATACTGTCCTGAAAGAGGAAGTGTCCTTTTGCTCTCTCAGCGTGGAGGATCATCAGTTATTTCTTGACTTCTTCGACTGGGTCGAGTGGATGGGGGGTAATTTGAGATCTTACAAAAACTTTGGGTTAAGGCACTCCCGTAATTTCCTAATGAATCAACTGTCACAGCAGTGCACCTCAAAACCTCTCTTTCCTCAAGGAGAAATGTTGCTCACAAAATCACTCAGAAATCTGATTATGGTGCCTCTCTTTTAATGTACAACAACAATCGTCTCCACCTCATTGTTTCACCTTTTAAGCTAAAGCTGGATTGAAGGTTAAAGCAAGACTTAGGGCTTCAGAAATTAAAATTTGTTCAGATGAAGGTAAGCTTTTGGACTAATGGTTTTCAACCTGAGGTCTGGGGGCCTACTGGAACACCCTCTAGATCCCAGGGGGTCCCCTGACCTCAGGTTGAAAACCATTAAACCACAGAAAATGAGGAATATTTTAATTTCACCATTATTTTATTGGCTAAAGGTCAGCCCAATGAGACAAAGTATAAGAATGAATATTTACACTCTTCACTGTTAAGGTGCCAATCTACAGTACAGACAGTTATAGAATAACTAAATCTTATCAGACAGGGATCCCTGAGACTACATCTTCGTCCCGATGTGTATCAATTTGGGGGTCAATGACACCAAAATGGTTTCGACTAAGATTAAAATTTCCTCAATAAAAGTCTTTTGAGAAAGTAGGAATTAATGTAAGCCCATCCACCATGGTCCTTAAACACAGCACTAGTTCAATATCAAACAACTGCCTAAAGTTTCCAGCTTTCTTTCATCTTAAATTAATTTTGGGATGGGGAAATATATTCCTTTTTATCTGAACTTTTAGACAGTGTGAATTTTAGGACATTTTATGTGACCAGACTGCCCAAACTGACATTACTGCCAAAAATGCCTTTAAATTTCAGTCTGAAATTCAATTCACATCAAATCACTTTTCCATCCTCTCGTGAGGCCGGATCCCTATTATGCCCCCCAATTCCCTCTGGTCGATACACATATTTCTGCAGAGTGAAGAATACCTTCAAATCTTCAATAGAATTACCAAATGCAACATTTGAGTGATACATGTTTTTTTTTTTTTCAAATTTCAAAAAGTACAACTAAATTTGTCTAATTTACAGACAAGCTAGGATTTCACAGAGATAAGTGTTCAAGCAAAGCGACGTATGCTTTAAAAGCAGGATGGGGTTTTATTAGAGAATATTGACTCCAAAGCAATCGCTACCATGACAGGCACAGAGTAGATTGTCTTCGCGCCCAGAACAGTGTAGGTGGGGATATTTGTGAAGCGTCACATTTCATTCGGCAAGATATTATCACATATCTCCCTCTTAATCTCCCACCTCTGTTATATTTGTTGAAGCCAAAAACATAATTTCTGACCTACAAAGTTGCACTAATTATCTAACCTTTTTCTAATACTGGGGGTGGCTGTCAGCAAGATTCTCGCTTTTGAAAATCCCTACGTGATTGCTTGCTTTATGGTGAAATGTAATCAATTATGCCAAACTGCTCCCACTATAGAAAGCAGCCAAATCTGGAACACTTAATAATCCGGTTTCTCTGTCTGACTTTCTGTCTTTTCTTTTCAATTGATTGCAGGTAGGTAGGTATAATTACTGACAATGCATCACAAGCAAGTGACCGGGAAAGTTTCAGACAGACAATCCAAACAACTCTCACCATACAGAGGTACATTTTGATGCAATGAAAGTGCTTAGAAATGATGGGGTCCGTTCAGAGTTTGTTTTAGAAGTGCACTTTTTCCAAAAAATACGGTAAAAAAATCAGTGAGCACAGATGGCAGATGATGAAATGATCAAATATTCTGGGGGAGGTATACCAAAAGCATCTTATATTAGTTAACTTGTTTTACTGTTAACTAATAATGACCTCAAACATCAAACGTAGCCATTTTAAAAGTCCCATTTATACCTGAATATTCTGCTCAAATATTACTGCATTATAACCTAAAACAGATATTCAGCAATCAAGGAAAACAAAGTAGATACGCTAATGATGCAAATACAGGGAAGATGCAAGACAAGTGTATAAATGAGGACTTATATAATGGCTTGTATTAGATTCTTGAATGAATAGAAAGCACTCATACATTTCAAGCACTTTTGACACAGATCTGGCTGTGAAATGGAAGCGAGAGAAACCTAAACTTCATGCAGTTTCTCAGTTCTAAAACAGCCAGGACCTTACATGTGTGCCACGGCGATTAAAATGTTTTCACACTCTTTCAGAAAAAGGATGTGTTGCTCCCAAAACATCTTCTATTGTTGCTTAGGACAGCACATTCTGTGGCTCTTTTGAGATTTGGAGCCACAGCAATTACTACACTACTACGTGCACGCTGTCAGCACATTATTACTGTTAAAAGGTTAATGTGTCCCAAGCATAATATGAGTTTTATTCCAAATTATCTATTCTCTCAAGAGTTCTTCCCACTTCAGTGTGAAAATTGAAGTAATTTACGAGTTAGTTGACTACATAGTAACATTTGAATTAGGTATTTTGTGTATTGTAACAAATTGACCCTTTTTAATAAGGGAAAAAATATTTATTTTTCTTAAATCACATTAATATTGGAAATACCACATCCATTTTCAAGGTGTAGCCTGAGTCATAAGATGCATTTGGAAAACTACTGAAAGCCAGAATAGGCCAGGTGAGAGTCACAGTGAGGAACGGAGTGGATGTGTTGATGTCTAGAAGTAAACATACAATACCCCACGCTCAGAGTTCTCCATGTGTGAATCTCTCTATCGGAGCAAGGGCAAGGCAGGTACAGGACGGGACAGGAAGGGATGGAGCCAAAGACAGGAAACAGGAAGATAGAGAGAGACATTAAAGGGTGTGAGCCTCGAGTCAGAGAGGTTGTTGTGAGACATCTGTTTCATCTGTAATTTTCTTTTTGTAAAAGTTTTGGTATTTTTCAGTTGACAATGAGCACACTGAAACTAAATGTAGACCAGGCTCTGAAAGGCTGCAGCTCTCTTTTCCAGCATTCCTGTTGTTTTCTGTAGATAAAACATTTTGTCTCAGGCTGAATTCATGCTGGGAAAAAAAGAGCCTTACTTTTATTATTTTCTGGCACAGAACTAGTGTCACGGCTGTCTGATACTGACAGTGAACTGAATGCTGAAACATTTGTATTCCCATTCTCTCTGTTTTGCATGGCTGGGATTTATACAGTCCTTTTTTTTGCTAATCCGCTAACATGAATTTCAAACTGGTGCACACAAATTTGTGTCTAGGTCTGGAGAACAGTGAACACAAATGAGCTGTGATAGGCTAAAGAGGGCAAAAACTGATTTAATTTGATTTCTATCGGTTTAGGCATCCATGAAAAGATCAGACCTGTCCGTATGGGCTGGAAAGCAGACTTCCTCTTGCAGCATAAATCACCACACTGTGCCAGTGTGTGGGACTTCAGTACTTTTCAGCAAGAGTGCTGTTAAGTGATGTATCAAGTTGGAAGGATTTATCAAGGTGACAAGTTTCAAACTTGGAGACTATAACAGGTAGAAATCCCAGAGTTTCTTAAGTGACATGAACAATTTCTCAAAGAGGGTCCCATGAACACTGTTCAAAGAAAACAAGAGTTGGGTGATGGTAAAAAACGCAAAACATAAAAAAACAAACATTCAGCTGTTTAAGTCAACAGCCATGTAAATGGAAGTTGGAGTGGACATAAAGCCATATTATGCAGAGAAAATTCATCTTGCCCTCATGTCATGAGACATGTCATCAGTGATGGTAAAATTCAACTGTTTCAAACTGTCTCAAATGTATTTCTTTTTTATGTTGGATCTAGTAGAAAAGACTTCAGGAAAAGAAAATCATTGAATTTATTTAACCACAGTTAATAGAACAATGTGGAGTATATCTCCAGCTGTGAGGTGTCTCCAATTGTTTGCTGTTTAGCAAAGCAACATATTTAGTTATACTGCATATTCAGTCAGAGAGGCAAACTTACGGCTGCATCACTGACTGATTCTTATCTCTCTTTATTTACATTTTTTCAGGATGGATTCAAGAAAGGGGGAAAGCAACAGGATGCTTATGGGGAAAAAAACAATATATGTAACCATGGGATGTGTACTACATTTGTAGTTGTTGAGATGTTAGCAAAGCTAGCAGAGGAGAGTGATTGGTAAGCTGGGATAGATCAGCCTCAATGTAGAAAGCAATGGATATGCAATTTAAAGTCTCACAAAAGCATGATTCTGTGTATGTGTGTACACTCATATGAATGTTGCAAAACAAACTGAAAAAAATGTTTTACAAAGAAACCATTGAAGTACTTTATACAAGACCATTTAAGCCCTCAGTGAAAACACAATTCACCTTAAAGTGCAAATGTTTCTCAATAGCCTCTTTGCACATGACTGCGTTCCTGAAGCATGGACTACAGATGGAGGACAGGAAGTGATTTTCTATTGGAAGCACAACTCTCAAAATGCCTGTTTTGCAATGTTTACGGTTGCTCAAATTGATGAAACTGAGAAACAACAATGAGTTTTTATTACAGTTGTTCATTAATGGGGAAAAATCCAAGATTGGGATTTACTTAAAAATGACAACTAGTTCTTCTGTGGACAGGGCAGCAGCAAAATCTGTTTCAGTGTACGCTATATGTAGAATATATGTAGAATATTTCACCACTTTATGTTGCCATCCGGCTGCACTTTCCAACAAGGAACTGAAGCAAGTCTATCCATCTATGCTGTCTTCAATGCCACCAACTGACTGTTTTAACATTAGTTTTGATCAGCAAAATCACACAATAACGCTAACTAACTAACCAATCAATGCAGTGGTAGACCAGCAACTTCTGCGTTCTGTGAGGTAACATTACTGTATTTATTAAAAGGAGTCTGGTGGCTTTGAAGAGGGCCATTTAACGACTTTAGTTTCCCATCAGAAAGGGCACATCTTTCAATTCAGTTGAAAAATTGCGCCTTTTCAAAACATAAGCATCAAGTCCAACATATGTTGTGATTTTGTGTTGCTACGTTTCTCTCGTAATATCTTTCTAACCAGCACAGCACGGACTCCTCCATCTCATCCATTCTGCTTTTCACTTCTTGTCCTCCATCTGTTCACACGTCACTGGAATCACTGGAAACAAGCTATTGTACAAATATTCCACTGTTTAGTTCTGCAAACGGACTCATTTAGACATTAATTTAGGGAGGGATCGCTTTACTTTTAGTCAGACCTTGGATGTCATTAACCTAGATACAAAAATACAGCTAATTATATTTCCTTTGATCCAATTGCATTGCTGTCACATGTGTTAATTTCTTGTAAAATCACTGATAGAATCCTGGCAATAAACATGGTCAAGAAAAAAATGACAAACGACAACCAGGTTTCTCTAATCCGTTACAGTGATTACAGAAACTTGTGTTCTAATATACAATATGTTTAAGGAATTAGGTTATTGGCATAAAATAATAGTAAATAACTTTGTTATTCCAGCAACTTATGGAACTCACTGACTCATAACTGGGAGCTACCTTGTACACGCAGAGTGTTGCAACAAAATCATTTTCTTTCAAGGTGGGATGACACACTGAGTCATTTAACAATTGTGATATACTTAGGCTCATGCATCTGTTTTTGCCCACACAAATGAGTTCTAAATAATAATGCCATAGAGCCTCTATGTATGTGAATCCTTATCTATAATTTAACATTACAGTTTTATGGTTTACTCTACCATTTCATGAAATTTGAAACTTGTCTCTGTTGTCTTACGATTACAAGGGAAATTATCTCTGACAAAAAAGAAAACCACTACAAGCCGGTCTCACTCCCAAGTCGTCAAATGCTGTCTCTTGGCCAGTGGACCTCACCTTCAAAATATGATTCTGTAGGTATCCCTCTAGAACCATTTGAGGACGCACCAACCATTAAAAACTCTGTTGCTACACCCTCCCTTTCCAAGCATGAAGGAAAAACTATTGCAAAAAAAAAACAGCCGATCTAAAGCCAATGTTTGGTTCGTCCCTGCTGGGCTACTGTAGAAACATGGCGGTTCAACATGGTGGACTCGCGGCTTTTGTAGATATAGGCAGCTCCTTTTAAGATAATGTGATACCCTGTGCGAAGAAATGATGAGGGACACCTACAGTGTTATATTTTTAAGCAGAGGGCTGCTGACCTAGTGGCCGTATTTGACATATTGGGAGCGTGAATGTGTTTCCCACTATTATCCGTGTGTCATCTTGAGCTAAGGTGGCCTTTTCTTGTTAGGATTCAGGACTCAGATTAATTAATTAGAAATACATTTTGTAAATTAGTCTGAACCATGAGGAGCTTTAAAGGATGTTGTATTGCTCTTGAGGATACTGAAACCAGAGATACAAGAAAAAATTATTTGCTCTGTTTCTGGCCGAAAGCTGTGTGTCTGTGTTTGAAACCATCTCTTTCCACAGTCCCATCTGGAGTTCTCCCTCTTTCTCAATCTGTGTATGTGCCCATGTGTGTAACAATCCATGGCTCTAACCCTGTCAATATTGGCTTCAAATGTCTAAGGAGGAGTATCAGGCCATCAGCGCGCGCACACACACACACACACACACACACACACACACACACACACACTGAGATGGTGATATGGCTCTTACTTGATGAAACTCATATTTTATATCCAGCCACACAAGGAAAAAAACAAAACAATTACTGCTCGCAAAGAGGTATACATGTATACACAACGCAGACTGACATTCACACAGGGAAACACATTCTACTCTCTGTCTCTCACACACACACACGCACACACTAAATAACAACCAAAATGTTAAAATATCACATATTCTGTGCTTCAGTTTGCCTCTTTGTGTGTATGCATGCATACATAATGGATCTATCTTGCATGCAAACTGATTCCAAGGTGTATGTGTGTCTCTTATATTTTTGACTGTAATTTTGCACACGTGTGTATACATGTTTTTCTCTTTCTGTCATTTGTATTGTACTGCTGCACTTACTTGCTCTTCTTTAGCTGTACTATAAGCCTGTGTGTGCATTTGTGTGTAAGTGTGTAGACAGAACCCAGCTCTGGTGGGAATTAATACCAGACTAGGCAGCCTCAGTAGCCTGTGGCAGGCCTGTTGCTATTCAGATAACACCTCAGTCTAAGGTTTAAGAACTAACTAAGGACTTTAATGAAGTTACAGACAGGATTTGATCAGAATCTAACTAATACTATTTGTCAGAAGTATTAATATGACTATGCAGAAGAACATTTTGCAATGTTAATGTCATGTTTCACAGAATTACTCTACAAAGAGTGAGATAAAGTATGTGAACATGAGAAGGACAGTGAGCAAGTTCCTGATTTAGTTCCTGGATCATTTAAAACACTATTTGGTTGACAATGATGATGGCCATCAGAGGTTGACATAAACATGTCTCTTGCTATAGCTCATGTATACAGTAAATTCAACATAATGTTAAATCAGTCCTTTACTAATGCATCCATTCTTTTACATTAGGATGACTTTAAGCCAGTTATCAGGACACATGCATAGTGTAAATAAATATAGCTCCAATATGGCTTGACTGACCCAGACTCACTTGTTAAGACCTTGACAGAAGCCCTTCATGTAATTTTGGAATGTATGATTCAACCATTTCCGCACAAATGCATCTTTAAGGCCAGAGCACAATGTGAATGTTAATGTGAAAGGGGCAGATTTGCCAAGAGTCATGCCCAGCAGTAGAAGCATTGCATTAGATTTGTGCCTCATATAGCCAGGGGTCATATCCAAAACTGTACTTTGCTTGTTTGCCTACATATCCTCACTTCTCTTGGAGCTATTTCATTTGTTATTTTTTGTTTAAGCTACTGAACCAAGATGGCTTATTAAGGTTGAGTCTCTCTTTTAAGGATGACCTGGACATGACAGCAATATGAAAGCCTCAAATAAAATAAAATCACAAAAGATGGCTCTTGGGTCAGAATTTAAGAGAGCTTGGATGAAAGGAAATAGGGGTGAAAAAAGTTAAATAACATATTTTTCCATCAATTTGCAGTTCCGGAGACGTCCCCTTTTCTCAATTACTTAGTCGAGGTCTGCTTCTCTCGCATTGCACAAAAAAATCAGACAGTGTTTAGGGAGCTTCAGGAACATTAATTATTCATCCATTCTCCTCTCAACCTTTTCATGAAAGTGTATCTTCCGGTGCTGGTTGTTTGAGCCCTCGGGGCCACCTGGCTGCAGAAACACCGAATCCCCATTAAGACTTCAGCCATGTCCAGTGTTATTCACTTCAACACTACATTAACAGCAACATCACCTGGCTTTTTCTTGAAAAAAAGGTCCATTTGGAACATACGTAACAGCGTTCTGAAAGATTAATTAGACAGTTGTGCATGCTCACTTCCCGGCAAAGTTTTGTCATGGAATCATTTATGGGCTCTGAAAGGCATGTAAAACACTTTCAATCTAAAAAACATTTTTTCTGCCACCCGGACGACTGGTTAAAGCGTGTGGAATGAAATATATATGACCTCAGAAAACGATCTATGATATTGTAAACCTCCTACTGTCAGAATCTGTCTGCCCTTCTTTTATCAATTATTTTTCACTCTTCTGTCTCCAGAACTCTTCACTACCTCTAAGTATTATTCTATTCCTTGCATTTTGGGGTATTTCTACTACTTTCTTTTGAGATTTTTCTCTCCTCTATCTCATCTTCCTTCATACTTATCCTCCTTCTTCGACTCTGTACTTTTGATTCAATACTTTCTCTTTCTAGTTGTATTTCATCTCTGCAACTTCCTTGTAATTTATTCTTTCTGTCATACTTTCATATCTGCTCGATGACTCTATTTGACCTTTGTCAGACCTTTAACCCCGACTGATGGCCTGGGTTAGCTTGATTTGGTGAGACCATCTGAGTAGCATCTCAACTGCTTCCTTATTTTGTTTAACTTCTTCTACTATATGGTTGCTCTTTCTCCTCTTTCCCATATCCACTGTGGTGGTGTTTGCCCTCTAATTGGCCTTTTTATGTATATTATGCCCTGTTAGCCTGGTTAGCATCCTATTAGCATATGCATTTGACCCCGAGGTTAACCAGTGCTGCCTTGTTTTCATTTTTCATATTCTTCAAACCTTGTACATTTTTTCCTCCCTCCCCCGTTTTTCTTTTGCCTTACAGTTCTGCTTGCCCCTTATATTCCCTACCTACACTCTCTACTGAAGTCCCTACCTATACATATCTTGTTACTCCTGGCATTATCCTCCGCTGGCTCTGATATATATTTTTATCCTCTTGGTGTTATAGTGGTGGGATATTCTCTGTTAAACTCTGATTAGCATTGCCAACTGACCCTCTGCCCTCTCTGATTCCCCAGCCTCTTTTCCTCACTTAAAATGGATGTAATGTTGTATTCCGACTGACAATATGGCAAGTTCCAGTTTCCCTTGCTGTATGGCTGTCTGAGCATACACGTTTTATCTTGTTATGTATGGCCAGGCCCAGGTGTTTTGTGTGTTTGTGGTCAAAGAATAATATACTTGGCTTTCAATTTTACTGCTAGTATTTTGGTTTCATAGTAACATATAGCAATGTGGCCAGGTCTGTGTGGGCGGGTGTGTATGTCATATCACTTTACCATATGTGTTTCGCTATGTGGCACAGAAAGATGTATAATAGATGTCTTTTGGAAGATTAGCTATTTCCTTGTAGCAAACATGTTCATTGTCACTCTGCCTGGATACACACAGTTTTGCCTTTTCTGTTTGACATAATATAAGGTCCTGTTTCTTTGTAACGTGGGCATGGACATGCTATAAGAACTGGATACTGTGTACTATATTCTTTGCATTTCATACAAAGAATATATTTATTCTATTTATAATATATTTTTCCTTTTCCTGGTTTATTGTGTCTTTTTCTGGCCCTGCTGGTTCACACCATATATAGGCTACACACTAGATAAAGTTAACCACAGTGGGCGAGTTGGAGGGGATGAAGCAAAATGAACATACATTCCCCTGGTTAACCTGCCTTCCCCCTCTCCATGCCCTAGTAATGGAGAGACTGTAGGGGCAGAGGGGTTGTTTAGTTGAATAATAGTCTCCCTGACTCAATGATCCTTTATCGTATTGAGGTTTGTGTAAGTTAGAATCTATGGCCCCATAGCCTGAAATATCAGCAGCCTAACTGTGCTGTGTGGTGATAAATCCATGGCGCTGTCCATGGTGCTGAAGTATCAGACAGATTTGTAATTGTGCCTTTTTCTCTCAGTCCTGTCTTTCATTCAGTTTATGTATTCTCTAAACTATATACTACCCGATTCTATAAAATAGTGTAGCCTATATACTCTATAGAACAATGTCACCTTCATGATCAAAGAGACAAGTAACAACGTGTAGAAGAATCCAAGAGGGACACTGCTGCTTTACAGAGAAGACGTCTCCCATGCACTGAAAAAAGGAACTGGACAGTTCATGAATGTTAGCAGCTTATGAGCCAGTCTTTGCTATTCAGCTTTTCTTTCTAGTATTTTTAAGCTATTCAGGTGGTTAAATTTGTTTTCATATCTATAAATCCACAATGTAAGAAATGTGTTTGTTTTTTCCACATGAAATATTAAAGTAATGGCTTGATTATCTGTCTCAGTGTGTTTGAATGGCTCCACTTAGGCCACATTAAACAAAGAATGCAGGTATAAAAAGCTTGACAAACAAGCAACTGCTATGCTGAGATGTGATAAACCTAAAGACTAGAGTGATTTACTTTTTTTACCCTAGCTGATGACTTTCCCAGTTTTTTTTCTAACTGACAGTCATGATGACTGTGACACTTCTACCTTGAGAAAATGGTTCAGTTATGAAAGACACTTAAAAACAAGTTCAGGCTACCTATAAAGATATAAAGAATTTCACACTCATTCTCTAGAAAAGAAATCTCTTCTAAACAATAACAAGTAGCAAAAGCACAAGTTCCTATAAAAGTAATGACACTAGGGCTTCTGAAAACAGCCCGGCTGTTTTGAATCCACGGCATCATATATTTTGATGTTTGCTTGTAAAAGAAGTCTTCATAAAAGTAGTCCTCAAGCCTTCCATTTCATTTCACTGTTGCTGTAGTCTTAGTTTTGCAGTGCAAATATGCTTCAATTACTAAAATCAGAAAAAGTGCCACAGTGTGGTTGATACACGCATTTGCATTGATTTTATTGGGTTGATTTTCTATTTGCGCTAGTCACACTAAAGAATGTTCCTTTACTTTGAGAAAATGAGTATTTCTCAGCAAAGTTTGAGGGTGCGAAGTAAGAAACTGACAAAAACAATAATAAAAAAATATATATAATAAAAAAATCAAACAAATGTGAGCCCTAGCGAAACAAAATGTATAAGCATTATGAGAGTGGGGTAGAGAAGGATGGCAGAATGGATGAGGTGATACAAAGAGAATTAGAGAAGTAAAGGAAAGAAAGGCAGGTTATGGTGGCAAGCCAGTGTGCATGTTAACACAGACACAGAAAGCTGTCTGCTAACTGAAAAAAAGTAATACAATTCATCTAGGTTTTAAATATCTAAACTCTGGGAACATCTATCATTATTATTTATTTTGCCTTTAAGGGTTAGAGAGGATTAAGTACATCTCCAGGTTTAACACAAAATTCTGACCTTTTATATTGCCTTAAGACATGAATAAATCTGTGTTTAACCTGCAATGTTTGATAAATGCTAATCTCTAGGAAGGATTTTTGTTGACTGACTCTGAAACTACACAAAAAACATTTTAAAATTTTGATGTTAAATGTTTCACTGAAATCCCCTCATCTCAGGAGCATCTGTCCCTACCTATCTGTACGTCTATCTCTTCATGCATATTCATTTTTACCTACAGAGTTTGTATGTAACGATTATAACTATGAGGACACTTGACTTGACATTATGAGGTCTATCCATCAATCTGCCTGTGTATCTGTCCATTCAGTCATATGGTTTAAAGATGCTTAATGTAGTATTTTATTCATCAACCCATACAGTTGTCCAAGCACTTACTTTTACAAAATAATACAGTGGTCATAAAGATGATTGGTAGTCTCTATCTAAATGCCAACCGTGCACTTGTTGCTGGCATCTTTTCACAGATTTTTTATTCAGTTGTTGGCTTGGTTCACCATCTGCTCACACCAGAAACTATGAAAATTTCAGTTTCCTGTGGAGGAACAGCCCTCTTTCTGTTTTGCGCCACAAAGAAACTCAACAGTGCAAAGTGCGATAGAACCTACCAACCATCTTGTACCATCTCAGGAGTTAAGGGAATTGTAGTGTAGATCTAAAATGGATGTGTTGATGATTTATTATTGTTAAAATGCTACACATAGCACCTTTAAGCTGCCAGTATGTCCTGATGTTGGGTTTATTACCTACCTGCGTTTGAAGGTGAGGACGAGGCCGAGGAGGATGATGATGAACATAAGGATCCCTGCGATCACTCCAGCCATTTTCACTGTGCTGTCCACCTGCTTCTCTGGCTCCATGGCATCTGAGTCCTGGGTGGATGCACCTACACACATACACACACAGACACATGAACGACAACACACACACACACACACAGTATGCACATAGTCAATCGGTAGGCAATCACATATAAATAACCAGGAAACATACATTCACATGGATAAGGACACACTGCATGCAACAAGAGCAAGTCAGCAATACACATGTTATATATATTATATATACACACACACATCACAAACACAGACGGCCATGGTAACACACAGAACATATTTGTGTTAGCCCAACAAAGGCAACTTGATACACATGATCCACAGGTGAAAAATTACTCTTAAACACGTCCATATGCAAGAGAATAAACCAATTTAATAACACATGCGTGGATAAAAAAAATCAAAAGGTATATTTCCAAAAAGACACATGAAGAGATGGTGGGATTTTAAAGGGTGTTCATTAAACTGGAAAAAGTTGTACTGAATTCCTGAAAATTTGTTTTGTGTCAAGTTACAAAAGAAAATGAACAATCTATCTATAAGATAAATAAATAAGAGATAAATGGATAAAAGAAGTAGAGGAAGAAATTCCAAGCTACAAGATTTAATTTTTACTACTTTCGGATAATTCGAAAGATACAAACATTGACATGCACATGACAAACAGTGGACCGAAGTTATACAAGAACCAAGGTTTAAACTCCACACATGCACATAGTAAATGGCTTACATGCAGGACTGGCTCTGCGTCTACTCAACATACAATATCGGTCAGTAACAAGGATTAAAATAAGCTGCAAACACAGTGACAACAACAGACAACTTGGGCAGGTGAATACAAGGTCGGTGTGAGTGTGGATTTTAAAGGAGAACACATATTCAGGCAGATAAGAGCTCTGCTATCACTGTATGATTATATGTAGAGGCAGGAGTGACTGACGGTCGCTGAATGAAGAAGGTAGCAGGCAGGAAAATGTTGAAGAAGGCAGGGTAAGAATGAGAGAGTGTCACCTCTGAATGTAGTCCCTTCTGCTTGCTGCTTAGACTATCCTCGTTTTCAACACTGGTTTCTATGATCGACGTTTATTTGTTTTTAAGTGAGTTCAAGATAATTCATTTTATTAAGCTTAATATTTAATAATAAGTTAAGTTTATATATTAAACTTTTTTTCCGGGTGGTGAAAAACAGTGTGGTTGTTGGACATAGCACATTTGTAGCGATGAGTTAGTTCTTAAAGGGACACTTCACCCATTTTGGCTTAGCTTTTGTATCGTTAGAAGCCCAGTCCATATTGAATGGTCGTGAGCATTCCGTCATTTCCCCTGAGACGGGAGAAAT